CCAGGAATTGAACCCACACCCTCTGCATTGGAAGGTGAATTATTAACCACTGGACTTCCAGGGAAGTCCCATACTAATTACTTTAAACGTAAATGGATTAAACTCTCCAAACAGAAGGCAAAGATCGGCAAAATGGATAAAAGAGAAATAAATGATCCAGCTATATGCTGTCTATAAAAGACTCACTTTAGCTCCAAAGACACAGATATGTTGAAAGTGAAAGTATAGAAAAGACATTCTGTGCAAATAGTAACCAAAAGAGAATTGGAGCAGGTATTAGATTAGTATTAGATAAAATAGACTGTAAGCCAAAAATTGTTTTAAGAAACAAAAATGTATATTACATATTGATAAAAAAGTCACTTCATCAAGAAGATATAATTTATGCACCAACAGAGCCCCCCCCCACAAAATATATGAAGCAAACATTGACAGAATTAAAAACTGGATAGATCCATAAGAATTGTTAGAAACTTCAATATTTCACTGTCAAAAAATGGATAAAAACTTTAGACAGAAGATCAATGAGGAAACAGAAGACTTGAATAACACTATAAACAAACTAGACCTAATGGACATATATAAAACACTCCACCCAACAACAATAAAACATACGTTTCTCAAGGGCGCAAGGCACATTCTCCAGGATAGACCATATGTTAGGCCACAAAACAATTTTCAGTACATTTTAAAAGACTGAAATCATACTAAGTATCTTCTCTGACCACAATGGAATGAAGCTAGAAATCAATAACAAACAGAAAAGTGGAAAATTCACTTGTGGCATATTAAATGTGGCAATTAAACAACACACTCTTTAAAAACCAATAGGTCAAAGAAGAAAGTATAAGGAAAATTTCAAATATATGATCCAGCAATTCTACTCCAAGGTATGTATATATCTGGAGTATATATTTTCAAAATATTAAAAAATCAACTCAAAGAGAAACTTGTATATCAGTGTTTATTGCAGCATACTCATAATAACCAAAAGGTGGAAATAGCCCAAGTGTTCATCAACAGATGAATGGATAACAAAAATATGGCATACATATACAATAGAATATTATTTAGACATAAAAAGGAGTGAAATTCTGATACATGCTATAACATGGATGAATCCTGAAAACATATTAAACAAAATAAGCCAGGCACAAAAGAACAAATATTGTATGATTCCACTTTTAAGAAGCAGAATAGGTAAATTCATATAAAGTGAGTAGATAAGAGCTTACCAGGAGCTGATGGGGAGAGAGGAATAGGGAGTTATTACTTACTGGTTAGAGTTCCTCTCTGGAGTGATGAAAAAGTTTTGAAGATAATGGTGATGGCTGCGCAACATGAATGTAATTAATGCCGCTGAAGCTGTACATTTAAAAATGGTTAAAATGATAAATTTTATGTTATATATATTATTTAAACATTTTTAATACAATTTTATTATGGTAAAAAATACATATATATTAAAACAATAAAAATTTAATGTATTAATATTTGTCTTTTCTGAGGGAAAATTCACAAGAATTTTAAAGAGAATCTTACAGAGTAAAAACATGACTTGCTTTGTTGTTATGAGCACATGTACTTATGAGCCAATCATACATTTGCACAGCTTTAGATCTCAAAATGTACCATTCATCTGCCCTTCTACCAAGAAGACTGCAGAGTGTTTATCAAGGTAAAAAAATGAACAAGCTTTAATGATTCTCTTCTGACAAGTTAAACAGAAGAAAAATATAGGATATAGGCTGTTAAAATTTTACTTTGAGAGGCTATCTCAGCAAGTAATCTAAATAAGTGTATGATGGTATATTCATTGCTTTTTGAAAATAGTTAGATGGCTGTGTAATTTTTAGTGAAAGAGCAAGGTAGCACTGAATGTTAAGAATCCCAAGCGTTAATATCTGAATATTTCTCTCAAAAGAAATCTATTACTGGGGAAAGTGGCTAAATAGGTTAATTTGCCAGATGAATTATTCAAATAACCACTAGAATATACCACAGGGAAAAAGACAAACCCTCAAGGAAGGAGAAAACAGGACAAGATGCAAGTAGTACAAAATGTTGAGAAACATATGGATGAGATATAAAACCACAAGAGAGAACAGAACAAGAAACAAGCAGAACAAAATTTTGAAAGCTGAAAAAGCATATGGATGGACTGGCAGACTCAAGAAAGGCAAATCAAGCTAGCAGTGGAGAAAGATGAGAATCAACCCAGTTCACCTCTCACAATTGCCAGTCGGCAGATGCAGTACCTCAGGGGGTACTGGACAGTGGCTAAAATAATGAGAACCTGATGAAAACTATTTGGAGGTTATATTCCTGATATCCCTTTCCCAACTCCCCACCACTACTTGTCTGGCCCTCCCCCACACCAGCTAAAGTCCAGAGGTTTATTCCCTAGAGCAGTTAAAGCAGTTTTCTGCACTGCAGGCACTGGGTACTAAGCCAAAAGTGTATGTGTGGGAGGGGGAGGACAGGATGGCCATAAAAATGTAGAGTGCCAGAAATCCTGTTCTTCTCCAATATGGCAACTGGAACACTAGCAGACAGACCCTTAGCCTCCAGGAAGGAAACTGGAAACCTCTACTCTGGAGAATCTGACCAAAGCAAGATATTCATGTGCAGGAGGGGACTCCCAAAAAAAGCCCACCCAGATAACCCTAAAGCAAACCCCTTCCACAAGTCCAAGGCTTCTAATCAGCTTTATAGTCCACTATATGTCTACCATAAGTAGACAGCCAAGGATTGCCAGATGTCCTAGAAAAGCCTAAAACATAAAAAAAGAAATAAATACATGAGAAGAAATTTGGAGTTAACAGATTCTACAGAAAAACAATTTCAAAAGCAAGAACACAGGGACTTCCCTGGTGGTCCAGTGGTAAAGAATCCACCTTCCAATGCAGGGGACATGGGTTCAATCCCTGCTCAGGGAACTAAGATCCCACATGCCGCGGGGCAACTAAGCCCGTGCTCCAGAACTACTGAGCTCGTGTGCCTTAATGAGAGAGTCTGCGTGCCACAAACTACAGAGCCCACGCACCACAACTACAGAGTCCACAGGCCCTGGACCCTGTGCCACAACTAGAGAGAAGCCCGCACACTGCCAACGAAAGATCTGCATGTCTCAACGAAGATCCTGTGTGCTACAACTAAGACCCAACACAGCCAAAAAAATAAAGATAAATAAATATTAAAAACAAACAAACACAAATACTATCACGAACATCCTCAATGGTAACAGAACAAATCCACAGACAAGAATATAAAATAAGAACTGAGTACTATATAAGAAAAGGAACTTTCAGAAATCATAAAGGGATCTTGAGATCTAAAAATATAGCAAAGAGTTGGAAGACTGAATCAAAGAGCTAAAGAAGAGATGGAGAGAGGGTAGGAAAACAGAGATCCAATCCAACATCAAAATATCAGTTCCAGGGCTTCCCTGGTGGCGCAGTGCTTGAGAGTCCGCCTGCCGATGCAGGAGACGCGGGTTCGTGCCCCGTTTCGGGAGGATCCCACATGCCGCGGAGCGGCTGGGCCCGTGAGCCATGGCCGCTGAGCCTGCGCGTCCGGAGCCTGTGCTCCGCAAATGGGAGAGGCCACAACAGTGAGAGGCCCGCATAACGCAAGGAAAAAAAAAAAAAAAAAAAAAAAAAAAAAAATATCAGTTCCAGAAAGAGGGAAGCAGAGGAGAGGCAATCAATGAACACTGAAAGTTTCCCAGAACTGAAAGATATGAGATACCGCATGGAAAGGGTTCATCAAACAGCTAAGATAATGAATAAAAATAGACCCACACCAAGGCACATCGCTGCGAAATTGTACTACCCTGAGAACAAAGGTATTCTACAAAGCTTTCAAGTCACATTCAAAGAGCAGAAATCAAAATGGTTTTGGATTTCTCAACACAACTGGAAATAAGACAATGAAGCAATACCTTCAAAATTCTGAAGGAAAATGATCTCCCACCCAGAATTTTATAAAATATCAATCAAATATGATAGATATGCAAGGTCAAAAAATTTACCTATATATTGATACTTTCTCTAGAAGCTAACAAAGGGTGTGCTTCACCAAAATGGAAAACAATAAAGCCAATAAAATGGAAAACAAAAAATCCAGAAAACAGATCAGCACAGGAGAAGAGTAAATGCAAATCCCAAAAGCTTAGGCACAAGAACATAGATTTAAGCAGAATGATTCAAGAGACAGGTTAATGGTTACCCTCATCAAGATCAGTGCTAGCTAGTACTGTACTCTTAAACTTGAGGAACAGCATGCCCAGGTGAAACTGGTCCTAATTATCTGTAGGTTGGTCTTTACCATGTATGATTACATGCCAGCTTTCCATTCCATCTCAGCTACAAGGATCAGCAAAGACACTCACATCACCCTATGGAAGTACTGTCTTGACCTACTCCTTTGAGCTAGAATTTAATTCCTCATGGACTGAGAACCAGTAAATACAAAGAAGTCTACTCCCTCTGACCACATTTTTGTCAGACCATCAATTAGGCAGTCCACACTATAGGCCCTTCCAGATACCCTCTGGTGAGCCTTCTATTTAGCAGGACTCACTCATGACCTTAGTCATGAACTTCCTCAAAAGTGACTTTTGTAAACTCTCATGGAAGCTGAAGCCAGACTATGACCCAAAGACTTCGTTATGCTCTCCCTGAAGCTTTCATGTAATAATGACAATGTTGTCCTTTTATTCCTGCCAACAGATTTTTCAAAAGTAAATATATTGTTTAAGAGTGTATGTGTATGCAATAAAATAAAAATGCAAAGGAATGATTAACACAAAGTCAGGATAGTGCCTACATCTGTAAGAGGGGAGTGATGCAATTACAACACACAAGAGTCTCCTTAGATTCTAGTAAATGCTCTATTTCTTGACCCTCTTAGATATTACAAATATTTCACTTCTTAACCTGATGGTGAGTATATGAATGCTCATTTTATTATTACTCTTTAAATCATAAACTTTTTGAATTTATAATTTACTTCACAAATTTAAAAAATCATCCTATCCACTTCCTTGCTCAGATTCCAAGCTCAATGAAGACCATTCTGGTAACAGTTTGACTCTATTGTAGCTTTGCCTCCATTAAGAGAATGGACATCAGAACACTTGGCATGTACATTTTTCTTTTTCAAGTAATAAACTGGTGTGCTAATTTTTAAAATAATATTCATAAAATAATGAATGTTTGGTTGATTTAATGACTATGTCCTTATATATGAGATTAAATTGGTTTCTAAATAAATCTTCTGAGAGTCAGTATATCCTCTGCAAGTAACCAAACTCATTCTCAGATCAGGAATTTTTCGATGCTTCAATTTCATCCCATATTGCAGCTTCAATTTTTGAAGTGTCATATTCCCTCATCATATCAAACTCAAGCCATGGCTGACTCCACTTCTGGGCTTCCTTCATTTGCTCTTCAGTTAAACAAAGGTCAAATCTGATCCCCTTAATATTAAATTTTGGACGTTCCCAGCGTTTGGACCACGGCTTGGGCTTCATTTTTACTTTCAGCTAAGGAAGATATAAGGAAAGGAACAAATTAGGCTGATAGTTGCAAGCAAAAATTCTCCTAAAAGTTTTCTTTAAGATGATTCTTAGTTTATACTTGAACTTCCAGTCCCAAATGTACAACTTATACCTGATTAACAGGAACTTCTTGGCTAGGATCTTGTGCTATTGGCTTCATATTCATATCAAAAGTGCTGTACTCAGGAAGGGCATCTCGCAAGTATAGCAAGCTATCATCCAGCCGTTTCTGTAATTTGACTACTTGGATCTCCTGGATTCGAGGGTTATAAAGTTCAAAGCAAATCTCAACACCTAAAAGAGAAGAAAACATATTCTTATAATCTAAATTCAGATTCCTGCATACACCTCATACTATAAGAAAAGCTATTTCATGAAGGAATTAGCTCAGGGTTTTGCATGTAGGAAATGTGATATAAATATGTAATCTTTAAAATGAAGATTATTGAAAGAAATAGAAATGAACAAATCCATGTAGATTAAAAAATGAGAAAACCTGAATTAGAATGATAAAGTCTAAAGAAAACTGTCTTCTATAAATATATTGAGCCATTTATCTCCTCGATTTTGATAGTATTAAATTAGTTGGAAGTTTGAATAAATTCTTCACTTTGTTATGTTCTTGTTTATTTCCCAATTACTTAAATAAAACTCTATCTTCTACATTTTGAGCAACAGAATTAATGATGCAAAAAAGAGTAAGTACATTTTTAAATTCTAACTTTGATTTAGAAGTCCTCTTAAGATGGCCTAGGTTTGTTAACACTCTGGAGCCCTCCATAGGAGAAACAGCTTTGAGTGTTTCCAAGATGCTGACATAAAAGGTTAATATATATCATCTGTATCATCACACATTTAAAAGGAAGAGTGTATTCTGAGGTTTCCTGGAATAATCCCAAGAGAAATAAAGATAGTAAAACATATGATCAACGTTAACATCAATTGTTTAATATCAGGATTTAATCCAGTATCCACTGTACATCTATTCTGTTATAGGCACTGATTTAGGAGCTGTGCCTATGGCAAAATCAAAATAGGTAAAATCCTTCTCTTCTCATAAAGCCTACATTCTAGTGGATGACAAATGATAAATAAAACAAGGTACTTTCATATAGTGAAGACAATACAGGGTGATGACATTGTGACTGGGGAGGGGGCAAATTTATGTATGTATGTATGTATGCATGCATGCATGCCACACCGCATGGCTTGCGGGATCTTAGTTCCCTGACTAGGAATCGAACTTAGGGCCCCTGGCAGTGAGAGCACTGGGTCCTAACCAGTGGACCACCAGGGAATTCCCAGGGGCAACTTTAAATAGTATAGTCAGGGAAAGGCTCTCTGCAAAGATAACATTTAAGTTGATACTATAACGAGCCAAGAATGCTCCAGGCAGAAAGAACAGCAAATGCAGAGGCTCTGGGGTCTTAACAAACCTGCCATGTTGGAAAAACTAGAAAAAGGTCCATTTGGCTGGAACATAGTAACTTGGTGGGCCAGGAAAGTAAGCCAGAGATACTGCACAGCTGCAGGCAGGAGATGATGGTGGCATGGACAAGAGTGGTAGCAATGCAGATGGAGAAACGGGCAAAATTGGGATAACATTTTTGGAAATTGAGCCATGAAAACTTGCTGATTGACTGGATGTGTGAAAGAGAAAAAATAAAAATAGCTCCTAAGTTTTGGGTTTAAATAAATGGGTGTGGAGTGGTACAACTTATGGAAATAGAAAAAACTGTTAAAAGAACACATTGTGAAGTAAACAAAGAGTTCTGTTTTGAACTTGTTTTATGCTTATAAGATGCCCAAATGGAGATGTCAAATAGGTAGTTGTATGTGCAAATCTGGAACAAGCAAAGGGTCAGTCCTTGACACATAAATCTGGGAAGTTAATACCACATGGATGGTATTTAAAGCCAATGGACTAGAAAGAATCATCAAAGTAGGAAGTATCAATGGGGAAGGTACAGGCAGGTCACAGTCAGTCAAAATGTTAATGGTAGAAAATAGCAAGAGAGAACTAATACTTTTGAGTATTCTGTGTCCAGTACTCCATATAGAACATCACAGTAAACTGACCACAACCCTGGGAGGTAGAAACTCTTATCTCAAGTTCAAAGAAAAAAAGTAATCTCAGGTCTATCACACCTTTGCTCCTGCCTTTCTATTACAAGATTTCTCCAAGTACACAACCTGATTGTTGGCCCAAGTTTCTGTAATCAAGTTCTGCTGAGTTCCTACATGCACAGCGCCACAGGTCATTATAGGATAAGGAAGACAGCAACGATTCTCATATGTTCAATTTTGGGGACCAACTTTAAGTATGAAAAATGTACTGTTCCTGCCAATTTTTTTGTCTTTATTTCTTAAAAAAATTTTTTTTTAGTTTTATTCATTTTTATTTATTTTATTGAAGTATAGTTGCTATACATTATTATAGGTTACAAGTATATAATATAGTGATTCACAATTTTTAAAAGTTATACTCCATTTATAGTTACTATAAAATATTGGCTATATTCCCCATGCTGTACAATATATCCTTGTAGCTTATTTTATACATAACAGTTTGTACCTCTTAATCCCCTACCCCTATATCACCACTCTACTCTTCCCGCTCCCCACTGGCAACCACTGGTTTGTTCTGTATACCTGTGAGTCTGCTTCTTTTTTGTTATATTCACTAGTTTGTTGTATTCTTAGGTTCCACAGAGAAGTGATAACATACAGTACTGGTCCTTCTCCATCTGACTTATTTCACTTAGCAAAATACCCTCCAAGTCCATCCATGTTCCTGCCATTCTGATTCATAATTTTTCTAGAATTTTACCACTTGTTCCCCTATCTTATTGACATAGCAAATGTAATTTCGTGTTTTAAAAAATTCCTCCAATTCTTAAAAAACTAATAATTGTGGTGACTGTTGTAATATAAAGCAAAATGGGGGCCATTCATTTTAGGAGAAAGTTAACTTGCAAGGATATCATATCATTATGCTTATCTTAATGTTTTCAAGGGTTATTTGCTCCTAAAATGAATGCCCCCATACTGCTTTATAGTCACTTTTCTCCTCCTTTGATGTTGCCATGATTTGGAAAGTCTACTTCTAATGGCTGTTATCCCTGTAACAAAAGAAGCCCTCAGGAGAAAGCAAAGCACCAACTGTATTTACTCAGCAACCTCAATTCTCATACCATTCTTAGGCCACAGGCTCTATGTCATCCCTCTGAGCTCCCTTTCACTTTCAAGTTCCAGATGTCTTCACCCAGGATGCAGAAAATAAAAAAGACTCCTGAGATAACATTTTCCAGAAAATCAAAATAATGAAATGAAACCTACCTTGTCCTTCAATAGTATTCCTAAGGATAAAAGTAGCTCCAAGTCCTGTTCCTGATCTCTGGATGCAAATTCCCAGAAACTGGCTGGTTTTTCCATTGGCATATGGGTCAGCAGTAGTAACACGAAGAATGCTTCCTCCAAATTCAAAAGAAAAGTGAACTTTTACATGAGACGCAGAATCAAACAACAGCATTTCCAGGTAACTTCAAACTTCCTAAATATTTTAATATAATATTAGGGATAAGTACCTCATATGGGCAAAACACAGAGAGGTGAAAAACAATTTTCTCTTTGTCGAGAAAACTAACCCTCCAACCACTAATAATAAAAGCATCCAGCTCTTACTGACCAACATAGAACTCTGGAATGTGGAGTATTTTTCTCCTTTCTAACATATCTTTTCTTTCTATTTGAAATTTCAGAGGATTTGTTCTTCCCCTTGGAGGAATGAATTCAGGACTCAAGAACCTGTGAAAAATATAGAGTAAAATAAATTAAAAGCAAACTTAAAAGACCACTTAAAGAGAAACCATTGCTTTACCAAAAAAAGTGAAAGATTAGGATGCTGACATGTTTTATTCTTCCTTCTCTAAATAAGAAAAGTCCATCTTATTTCTAAAATTGTTGTCATTTCTCATGAAAATAGCTAACAATTTCTGAGTACTCACCCGGCATTGTGTTAAAAGCTTTATTAAACATCTGTAGCATAACTTAATGCCTACAACAACAAGGTGAGTTTGGTGTCATCATCTCCTTATTACAGATGAAGAATATGAAGCTTGGAGACGGTAAACCACAGAGCTACTACTACATTAGCTATAAACTTATCAAGCCAAGATTAACAAGACTTATTACTACATTAGCTATAAACTTATCATGTCTGTCAGATTGTGACCCACAGGCCTCACGCTGAGTTGTACATGTTATAATAAATTATGTTGGAAAAGATATAAACATATAAATCACCAATTGTAAACTAACTTTAAAAATAATCTCCCTATTAGCCAACTGATTTTAAAGTCATTATGAAATATCTAATCTGTAGAAAAGTATAAATGACATTACAATGAAAATATATGTCCCTGTCACCCATCTCAAGGAATAAATTAACAATGTAGTTGAAGCCTCTGTGCACCCCTCCCTACCCCCATAGTTAATTACTGTGGGGTAATTAACTAAATTTGGTGTGATGATTATTCCTATGAATTTCTTCCTTTTCCTCAATGTCCTACTTTAAAATGTTTCAAACCTACCAAAAAGATGAAATAGTAATACAATGAACACCCATATATACTTCACCTAATTTCACCTACTGCCAACATTTTGCTGTATTTGCTTTATATGTACATATAATTTTTTTCCAGAACCGTTTGAAAATGTCAAACAGCAAGGCATTTCATCCCTCAAACTTTAGAAGGCTTCTGCTAAGAATAAGGACTTTCTCTTACATTTATCACAATACTTTTATGACACCTAAGAACTTCAGCATTAATTCAGTAGTATAATCTAATACAGTTCATATTTAAATGTACCTAATTGGTCCTGGAAAAGGTCTTTTATAGCTGTTTGTTGCTCAATCCAACCTACAATCAAGCTTCACCTATTATATCTGGTTGTTAGCCTCTTAAACTAGTACTCTTCCCCATATTTGCATTTTTGTAGTATTGACTTTTTTGAAGAGTCAAAGTTGATCATCTTATAAACCATCCCTGGATCTGAATTTGTTTACTGTTTCCACATACTTAGACCAAGGATACACATTTTTGGTAAAAATATTACAGAGGTGATGATGTGATCTTCTTATTCCATCACATCAGGAGACACATAATGTCAGCTTGAACGGCTATTGGGAAAACTAGGTTTGATTGCTCTGTGAAAGTAGAGAATTTCCCCTGTATATTTTTTTATACTTTACATATGTATGTATGTCTCGGCGATACAAAAATGCTACCATACTTGTCAATTCTTCTGCAGGTTGCTTTTTTCACACATCATAGTTGAAGTTCATTCATGTTAACTCTAGTTCATTCATGTTTCACTGCTGTATAATAGTCCATTATGAGAATGTATTTGCTCATTCACCTACTGAAGGATATCTAGGCTGCTTCTAAACTTTTATTACAAACATTACTTTTGTGTTCATTTTTGTACATGTCTCCTTGTACATATTACTTTCCTTAAGTTGTATACTGTCTGGGTGGGAAGGTACAGACAACCTCAAACTTACTAAATTTTGTCAAATTGTTTCCCAAAGTAGTTACTCCCATTTAACTGAATTATATTGTGTTGCCATTTAAGAGAAATATTCCTTTCCCACCTTAAAAAAAAAGTTGTACTGAGAAATCTTTTCTCAATCTCTAGGTTCCATAAATTCAAGTTTATTTCAACTTAGAACCACAGGATATTTTAAATATTAAACACAAATACATATGCAGAGATAATCGAGCCGACAATATACAGCCCTTTCATAAAGCCTAAATCACACCAATTTTCCCCCCTAAAATTCGCTTTTTAATAAGGTTGTTATACAATTCTACAGAAACAGCTTCTGCAAATCCTAGATCATGTAAATTTACACGTACCTACAAAGTCACCACTGCCTGCTTAAGTGAACCAGGCTTTTAAGCACACTGTTTTGAAGAGCAAATTTCAGAAACAAATTGGTAGAAATTTTTACCACCGTATCGCTTTTTCAGGGACACTAAAACACAGTTAGTTGGGAAACTAAAACAAGGTGAGTTCTGGCCAATCCATTTCACCTAGGGAGAAAAGATTCGTTCCTTAACGTCAACAGGTAAAATACAATGTATTTCACAGAAAAATTCTCGATACGGGCCAAAGAGCTTCAAATCTGGGGAATCCCCACTTGAAATTCTGATCTAATATGACTTCAGAGAAAGTTCAATGCCGGCTTGGGAGAAGCGAGGAAGTCAAACCTGAGTTGGGTGCGCTTCACGCATTCATGAATCCTGCACACAAGCTCTTATCTGGGAGTTCCAGACCCCAGGATAAGACCTGTTTCAGACCTCGGAAGCAACTACAGGTTCTAGAGCGCACAGACCCAAAAGGCAGGAATCGCGTCCAGGTCGGGGCTCTCACCTGCTTTCCCGGCGCTGGGGACGGCGCTTGTCCACGATAATCGGTTTCGGCGGTGGCTGGAACGCGCCGGGCTCAGAAGGTCCAGTGATCTGCCGCCGGCTCGGCCCCGCGAGGGCCTCTGCGGAAGCGCACCAGAGAGGTCAAGACTGCTCGCGCGAGCCCAGAGCTCCCGCGAAACCTTGCAATCGCCCCCAATGCGCGGTCCCATGAGAGGCCTCCTCCCATGTCGCCCCTGACTTCCAGAATCGCCTCCCTTTAGCCTGACCCTAAGCTCCTTCTGTCCCCGGCTAGCAAGCCCCGCTGCACTTACGGCAGGCGACAGAGGCCGGCGCAGGGCGCAGAGCCCAGGCGCATCGAAAGCTCCAGCCCAGGGCCATTGCAGCCCGGCAGCCCCTGGCAATAGAGGCCGCCATGCTTGCTCCCTCAGTCGAGACTACAACTCCCAGTAATCAGTGCGACAAGGTCGCGGTCACTTGAGCCAGATGGCGCCTGCTAAGGGACAAAATAGCCAAGTCTTTCTCCACCCACCCCACCCCCACTCCACACAAGGGCCCGGATATCTTAGGGAAAGTGCACTGTATTTCTCTAGTTCTCCGCATGTGCCAAGTTATATCACTCTACGGGAGTGTTCTCTCAGCCTAGAAAGATTTCCTCCCTCTTTGAATCAACTCTATCTTCAATTTCTCAGGCAAGACTTCAGTATGTCAAGAATTCTCATTATAGGCTCCCATTCTTCCATTAGCTGCTCTGATGTCATTTGCAATTTTAATTTTTAGTTTAACTTAATTTTTGATTACTTGTGTAATTATTGGATTAGCGTCTAACTCCGCCATTATACTGTAAGCTCCTGAGAGCATGGAGTTTGTCTTTTGCTCACCATTTTCTCTCAGCATCTAGCTGGTCCTCACTCTTTGTTGAATGCAAAAAAAGGAAAAGAAAATGGAGAATAAATATCAGGAGAAGGAAGGATTTATTACTTACAGCAAGTAACGGGAACACCTGGGATCTTTCCCAAAGCAGTTTCTCCCTGCACAGCAAATTTGAAGAAATCTTACGCTAAGGGTACATGCATATTCATGAAGGGGCTTGAAAAGGAGAATCCAGCATAGAATGTTGCAGCTAAAAGCTAGCTAAAGCAGTTTTAGTCTCCATTATTTTATGCTCTACTCACTTTCTTTCACCTGCCTCCCACAAGTGATTTCTTTTCCTAGTTAATTGCTTTTACAAATGATTACTTTTTAGTTAGTGTTATATTGTGCACCTGGTATTTGTCCTCCTTTGAAACACTCCCTAACACTCCCTTCCATTGTGAGCATTCTTCTGTTGTGGAAGGGGGACCCCTTCCAGGGCTCTTGTCTAACACTCAGAAATGAATTGTGGAGGAGACAGGTGCTGACAAAGCAAGAAACTTTATTGAGAAGGGGCACCTGGACAGAGAGCAGCAGAGTAAGGGAACCCAGGAGAGTGCTCTGCCACATGTCTTGCAGTCTCAGGTTTTGTGGTAATGGGGTTAATTTCTGGGTTGTCTCTGGCCAATCACTGTAACTCAGGGTCCTTCTTGGTGGCACATGCATCATTCAGCCAAGATGGATTCAGTGAGAAGGATTCTGGAGGGTTGGCAGGACATATGGACTGGAGTCTCCTCTCTCCTTTTGACCTTTCCCAAATCCTTCCAGTTGGTGGTAGCTTGTTAGTTCTGCATTCCTTACCAGGACCTCCTGTTATAAGATAACGTATGCAAGTGGTTACTGTTGTGCCTGGCCAGGGTGGGTAGTTTTGGTGGTAGCTTGTTAGTTCTATGTTCCTTACCAGGACCTCCTATTGTTAAGATAACTCACACAAGTGGTTACTACTGGGCCTGGCCAGGGTGGGTGGTTTCAGTCAGTGGTTCCCCTAATAACTCCCCTGGAGAGACTTCATACTCAAGATACTTCTTGGGAATTGGGGTGGAGGTCTCCTTCTTCTGTAACTACTTCCTGCTGAGAGTGGGCATAGTCCTGCCTAGTAGAGTAGAAGTCTCTCTCTACCTGATCTAAATCAAGTTATCCCATGTCTGAAACCCTTGTAGTAACAACAATTTATCCTGAAACTGTTGGACCCTGTAGGAGATAAACCTTGTAAGCAGTTGAAACACACAGGGGCCAAACAGGATTGTCATCACTGGGCCCAGAAAAGGAAGGCAAAATTTGGGGTGAGGGCTGCAGTGTGTGACTTTCTTCTGATTGGTTTGTGGTGAGGTAACAGGGTGATGCTCCAGGAATCTTGCACTCAGCCTGAAGTTACCATCCTCCACTTGGTTGGGGGCCCCAGTTCTGCAGAAGAACTCAAAGATATTGTTATGTATACTACTTGAGGAGGAACCAGGACCCTGCCCCAAGGCTGCATTTTTGTTTCTTGACTGCTCCTCCTTTCTGTATTCCCTCCCTTCCCTGATTAGTAATGGTTTGAATCTGCCCTTTGGAACTCACGGAAGGTCAAGGAAGCTGAATGAAGCCTATTTCCTAAAAACAAGAAACAAGGGACACAGAAAGGTTTTTGTATCCAAGGGGGCCCCACAGGGTCCTGCTCAGTTTCAAGATCACAAAATGGCTTAAGCCCAAAATGTCTTCTCTTATGTCAAAAAGCTGTAACTGGTTCTTTTTCTCTGGGGAACCCCTACCCTATCTGCTTCCAATAGGTGGCAGAGATGAAAACTAAAAAGGTAAATTGTAAGTTTTGTTAAGAAATTTGAAATTTGTACTCTCAGCAATGGTGTGCCACTGGAAGGATTTCACACTCAGAGTTGTCATGGTCCGAATGCAGGTTGGAAAAGAATTTCTAGACACAAGGAAGAATGAAAAGAAGATAGAATTTATTAGAGGGAAGGGTCACTGCCAGAACAGCGGGCCAACTTCCTGATAGCCAGGGGGAGTTGACCCTGAGCAAGGGTTTCTGGTCTGTTTTTATAGCCAGGGAACAAGAGAACCTGGGAATCATCTGCTGATTGAGCAGGGTATGTATACTTACAGTGTGCAGAGCGTGAGAAGAATGGGACAAATACCTTTCCTTATTTGGGATGGGAAAGGGACAGGGCATGCTGCTTGGGAGGGCTCTGGGACATTGTAATGGTCGCAATGTTACATAGTGATAAGAGTCTTGTAACTCTTTGTTCCAGCAATATTGGCCCTTTGACTTTATCTTGTTCTTTGTCCTTGGAGCATCACAAGAGTGAGATGATTACTTAGTTACTTATTGGTCATTGCAGTTGAATTAATGTCCCAAAGTACCTCAAACTCAATGTGTCCATATCGAATACACTATGTTCACCTCCAAACTTCCTCCCCAGTATTAGCTATCTCAAGGAATGGCTTCAAAATCCAATCTGTTGCTTAAAGCCAAAAATCTCATTGTCATTTCTGATTCCTTTATGTCTCTCCCTAGGAAAAGTTCCTAAAACTACACCTGGCACCATCAACTATCTCAAATATCTTAAACTTTCTCATCCTCCCATCCATATTGCTAATCCAGGTTACCATCCTTTCTCCTCAGGATCACTGCAAACCACTGCAACTGTCTTCTCATTGGTCTTCCTGCCTCCAGTTCCCTTCAGTCGTTCTACACATAAAAACCAAAAAGGTGGCTCAGAAATGCATACCTAGTCCTTGTTTTTTCCCAGTTTAAAGCCTTCCACAGTTTTCAGTTGACAGATAAAAAATCAAATTCTCAAAGAAAGCGAGCCATGTTCTGAGGACAGAATTCAAAGTACTGCAAGGAGGGACAAAGTCTTCTTTTAACTCCAGCTTCCTTGATTAGAACAGAATTTAACTTATAATAGCAAGGAATTACACAACCAAAGTTTCAGATTAGCTAATTTTAGGCTCTCTCTGCCCACCCAAAAAGGATACTTCAAACTTTTAATAGAAGTAAAAAGGGAGGAGAGACAAAGATAATTATGACTGGTAGCCATGTTCAGAGATCAGGCTTGTCTTATTCACTTGGATTTTACCTCAGAAGATAAAGAAGGAGAGATGGGCTAGGGCCACTGGTCCTAGAGAGATTAGCAGATTGAGCTGCTACAGAAGAACGGGAGGGTGGGAGTTGGAGGAATACATGATGTGTGGGCAGAATCCCATGCCTACTGTTAGGCATATGGGAAGATAAATGGGGAAATCACTGTAGCATACCAACTATGGAAAGAGATGGCTGCAAGGATCAGCCCTAGACTACCCAGAATTATTTTTACTAGAAAACTGAATTTCACTAAGATTTGAAGAATACTAGCTTGAGAAGTATGTTTTATCTGAAAGAAAATATTCATAAAATGTAATGACTTAGACTTCTACTTTCTTTTTAGGTATTTGTTTATAGACACATATCAATGCATTTTAATCAACATTACCTAGAGAATCATGGAAGGAAAATAACAATTTGCTAGAGACGAATTATTTCTAACTGTATAATAATGTTGATTGGTTTGTTATCACAGAAGTAACACATACTTGAAGGAACTGGGATTTGATTTCCCCCTGCTTACAAGTGAATAAGTTGTTTTTGTCTCATAAACGTTGGTAGAAGACATGAGACTCCTGAGACAAAGGACTTTATTACTGATGGCACAAGAAGTAAGCAGCATGAGCATCAGCATGTTTGCAAACATTTCCTTTGCCCCCAAACCCCACATGTTGACACCATGGGCACAGATGCAATGGGTTTTCTTCACAGCTGAGGAACACTGAACTTAGTAAGTCCTTTGCTTTTATAGCAAGCAGTAAACAAGCCTGTGCTTTGTCCTGGTGAGACATGGACATTTATCTCTCAAGGTTGCTCATTGTAAACTCAATCTTGAGAAATGGTCTGGATAGCATACACACTAAGACACGCAGGAGCTCAAGAGACCCATGGAAAACTCTCTCCCAATCATACTTCACCTAGGAAATGTGAAAAAAAATAATGAGGAAAATCTACCTCCTAAACTTTGAGAAAGGTTTATGGATGGCCACGGGAATCACACTTAAAGTTCAGGTGATAAAATTTTTGAAACTGGGACACAAATACTCCTGTTAGATACACCTAAAACCTCTCACACATTCTCGACCTCACGGTTTGGGTTTGGGATTGGTATTACTCTGTCAGGGGGCTCACTGAGGGGCCCCCGTTTCCCAAATTCTCAAAGACAATCCTTCAGGTGTCCCAGAGATGGTGCTAATGTCCTCCATCTTTGAACATGGTGAGAGTTTCCTCACAGAGCCTGTCCACTTCTAAGCCCTAGCCTCTTCCCCGGTATGCTGTAAAACCTGAGCAAGTCACAGAAAAGGCTTGGAATAGCAGAGCATCCAGACTATCAGTGTGCTGGATCCTCAAGGCCACAGGCAGCCTTGGCTGGAGAAGCATGTAACACAGTGGTCTGTATGTATTAGTGGGATGTTTCCCACAGAGGCTACTAATCCATATG